AAAACACACAAAATTGTTTTACTTAAACAATTTTAACTTTGTCATAACTTCTAGTGGAAATTAAATGAAAACTGAATAGATGCTATTGGAAAAGATTAAACAATTAATTGCTTGTGCAAAGTCAAAAATAATTTTAGGGGTTTCCAAACTTGAAGTAAGAAGATGTATAAAGTTTGCATAAATTTAACATTTTTTTCCATCAACATAAGAAAATTTTCTTCTAAGTAATTATTATTAACATTGAGCAATGTGGAAAAACCGTGTACTTTTGATTCACTTATTAATACTGAAAAGTGAGTATTATTTCTGCAGTTTTAAGAAAATGAAATTGAAATTCAGTGTCATTTCAATTCGTACGCCATAAAATGTTTTGTAGCCATTTAAAATGCTAATAGCAAAGGAAGTTTTTTAAAAACAAATGAAACTACCAACACAATGAATTGTACTGTGGGCCAAATTTGTATTTGTTATTTATCATATCCTAGGGACTAATAAAATTACATGAAATTCATATTTTCCTTCTGTATTACAATGGAACTAATGGACGAATTTTCTATGAAAATTGAACTGCTTAAAGTAAAACATTAAATGTAATCGGATCACTAAATTTAGGTCTATTAAATATAAGTTTGCTGTAGCTTCCTTGAAATTTGAAAGAGGTGTTTAAAGGATATTTCCATTATCTTATACAATACTTTCGCTAAATTAGAAAATAGGCATTGCAATCAGTTATATTCTGGCCGCATAAATTTCTTAAATTAAGATTTTGTCTTTCAAGATTCAAAAGTTTATATAAAAAATTGAGACATGTTCTACAAATCCCCCAAAAGTATGCAATTGCGCGAAATTTAAATATTTGCAAAGAATTTATTTGTCCGCATATACTACATTTATCGCAACAGATTTTATATATTGGACGTTATAGCAGATTCATAGTATTCACGAAGCGTATTACTTTCACAAATTGTTTAACTAAATGCACCCACCATACAATTTTTTTTTAAAATGAAGTTATGTGTTGTGTATAGGGATTACACCATGTGTTAAGAAGCTATTGTGCAAACCTCACAATATTTTTAATAGCTGTAATATGTAGTGTGTGTGATATTAAAAATATTTGTGAAAATATTAAAAGTCAAACAATGTAAAATCTTACAAAAAATCGAAATAGCTTAATGGGAAACATTATGTGAAAGACCGCTAATTTTTATATGTACGTGGATCATATTGAATAAAAAGAATTCGTTTGTATGAGTGCATAGCCACGTTTCGGAATAGTCCAATGAACTTGTACCTGTATTTGTATTTTCTGAATTTTATGAATTTAGCCCATACATACTTTAGCCAATATTGTTATTAAATTTCATTTTTCACATGCATTAGTTTTGACTAGTCATAGAATTTAGTTCATATCATTTAATACAAACGTTGGAGATGGCATAAATCATTTAAACAAAATTTGCGATCAAACAATCAACCATATCATACGTAAAAATCTCAAATTCAGAAAATTTTCAAAAAAAAGGTACGTATTTGTTAATTTTTCGGATATCGATTTTTTAAAATATTGATTTTTTAAAATATTTTAAATAAAAGAGCATAAAATTTACGAGAGCCGCTGACATTTACGAGAGCATTAAATGCCGTTATCGTTAGCTATATTTAAATATCTTGACAACTTTTACCGTTGGAATAAGAATGCAGGTGAACTCTTTTAGATTGAGCAAAAGAGCTGTTGTCAGAATATAGTCAGTGTGTTGATATGCGCACGAAATAAATATAAGCACCATAAAACTAAAGAAGTTTTTCTTATTATAACCATGTTCGGTTACTTGCATTAATACTCATCATATTTTTTGAGGATTCGAGACGAAATGTAGATCTTGTGACCTCTTACAAGTACTGAACTTCTCGTTATTATTTGTCTTTTGAATTTTGGTTGTTTCGGTATTATAAACTGATCTGTTTACATTGCTAACACCTTATTTTTTGTTTCCTTGCCGTACATAGTTTTAAAATAAAATATGAATAAATTAAAATGCGATTTATATGATTTATTTAAAAAAATTAAAGGAAGGAAATTTACAAAAAAAATACAAAAACACAACAAAAAGATTAAAAAACATATTTTTTATATTAAACATTTTCTTTTTTAATTTACTTTTTTTTTCAATTAACTTTCAGGTTTTCCAAGTTTATGAAGAAGAAGAAACAAACATTGTTTGTCATCATCTGTCTTGAAGGTAATATTTTAACTTTTATTCTTCATTCTTGTATTTTGATTTTTTTTTTTACATTTTTACTTTTATTTCTTTTAATTTACTAAGTTTTCCATTTACACACATACACACACTTAATAAATTGATTGCAATGTTGGTACAATAATGACGGTGATAATGACGATAACAATGATTTATGTTTTAAATTTATTTCTTTTTTTTTATTTTTTTAATTATAATAATAATAAATAAATAAATTACGACAACTATTTACAAATAACTAGTACATCAAGTTTTCGGATAATACACACATAATTTTATTTTGCAGTTTTCGACCTTGACCTGGGTCAGGTTTACATTATAGTCTGCAAATAAAACATAATGTTGCTTTTGAATTACAATTCTTAAAATTTTTATTATTTTGATTTTTTTTTTTGGTTTAATATTTCAAGTTTTAAAATTTCATATGATTTCGGTTTAAAAATTTGTATGAAATTACAATGAAAGAATTTGCATAATAAATTATGTGATTTTGGATAATATGTGGGAAATATGTGCTTGTATGTGTGTAAAAATGTGTGTTCAAATATATATTTGCGGTATCAAAAGTGCACAAGTTATTTAAGAATATTAAGAATTTTGAGAATAGTTGATGTATGAAAATGAAAATGGAATATTTTTTTAATTTTGCAAGACACTTTTTAGGGTAGAATTAAAATATTGCATTAAAAGTTCGCTAATTGTTATTGCTTTTATAGATTAAGATTGCTAATATTTGCAGAAGCAGTTGGCACATCGTTTTTTTTACATTACCGTCCGGTTTATTTGGTGCATTAAAATAATGAAAACGTTTTTTAACAAAGATTTTTTTTTTGAAAAATTTCCAAAAAAAAAATTCTTCGAATGCTTTCATTTGCAAAATAATTTTCTTGCAAATGAATCGAATTATCGTAAATGAGTCTATTGAAGTTATGATAAGATCATATTAGTCTCCTAAACTTGTAAAACCCAGTATATTGTGCGAATTGTTAATATCAAGTAAATTGATAGTTTACATAATTTAACGTTGGCAGAAAATAAATAGTTGTTTTTCTACTAAACAATTATGCCTCCTTACCGCAACTTTGATCTTACCGTTTTTGATCCGCAGTCACTATTTTGTATTGTTTTTGATTTACTTCTTTGTTTTTATTAAAATTTTTGAATTATATTTGGATGGCGTTGTTCTGACCTATTACTAATTTTAAACCACTTAAGAGTTTCGTTTAAAACCTCAACTGTTGAATAGTTATATGAAATTTCAGTATTATTCTTTATTTGGCAGCAAATTATATTGCGCCTGACATAATTCCTTAGATGTTTTCATACAGACAATCAAATTAATTCAAAAATTAAGATTTCTTTAGTCAAGATGTTTATTAAATGTATGTATTACGAAGAAGTCGTAATATTCATAATATTGCAATTAGTAAAACAAATTCCAATTGTAATGGTTCTAAATTATGTGTTCATTTCAATTCTTCTAATTCTGAAGATTTACAAAAAACAAACTTTCGATAGATTTTGACAACTTCAAGCTATAAAGTTATAAACTGAAAACATCACATTCGGAAGTTGATAAACAGAAAATGTATCTTCAATTGGTAATTTAAATTAGCATTTATTTTTAGATAAATGCAAATTTCTAACACACTAAACATTTAATGCTCATATACATTGATTAGAAAATTTTAACATCGTATAACAGAAGCTGGCTTCCTCTGTGCCTCATCATAATTGCTTACAATTTATCATCAATTTTCTATTATATTAACATTTTTACTAATATTGTAAATAGTATTTAAAGATAATTGATCTTCCTCAACAAATCAATTAATAAAACTCATGAATTACAAAAAAAATCATCACTAAATTAAGTATGCAAAAGTGTCTATTTCATGTTAAACAACCTAATAGATTTGTTAATCTTTTACTATACGAGATAGAAAATTATAATCTTTATGAAATTAAGAGAAAAAAAAAAGTGTATCCCATACCTATAATTACATATGAACATAATAAATATATACATACATATATGTGTATTTGTATACATACATACATGTATATTGTGTTTAATAAGTATTCAAATGTAGTTAATGATTGTAGGTCCACATAATATTATTTTAATAAATATTACTGAATATATGAAGTACATTATGTTGAATACAATAATAAAATTGGCATAAATGCCATATAGGCATAGATATTTAATGTACAAATATACACATACCTGAATTTTAAGGCAATATCAATTTCAATAACTTGATACACATCACATATAGAACTTATATTTACCGCACTCATTGACAACAAAACTTTGCGGTTAAATTCCCTTTTTTTTGCCAATAGGCATCACTTGAGTATCCTGGGGTGTTTGTTCTCTACTCAGTAGTAATTATTTTTAAAATACTATTAATATTACTTCCTTATAGTCATAATATCTGATAACTAAGCCTTTCTGTGTCTATATTAAATTTTTTTTTCTGTAAATTTTATCATGCTGTCATTTAAAACGAAAATTCATACTGAATCGTTGCTGACCCCTAGGGTGTTATCAATTTTCAAGATAATTAATCAAAAATTATTATTTGCATATAAGTAGGTATAGACACCACACATGTACTAAGTATTACAGGAAATTGTTATAAACTTTTCCTTTAAACAATTTATTTTATACATTTTAAACCTATAATTAATTTTTATTTTTATTTTTTTGTTTTTTTACGTTGTACTTCAAACGCATGATGATGCTGTCAGTTCATTGACATCTTCCGCCATCTAATTAAACGTTTATTAGAAAATTAATAATGTTTGATTGGTTTTTATGTACAGAAAAATTTACAAAATAATAAAAAAGGAAAACTGCAAAGAATAAAATTTAAACTTTTTTTTAATTTTTAGCAATTTTTAATTAATTTTTGTACAAGTAATCGTCACGATTTTTTGTATGATTATTTTATTTTTTTTTGACCTTTTCGTGTTTTTTGTTTTCAAAGTTGCTGCATTGCAACTCTCGCTTTAAACCTTATTTTGACATTTTCATTTAAAATTTATCGACGAAAGTGCCGTATTGAATTGTATTGAGTATGTGTGTAATTCAAAGTTTGTATGGAGTCAATTGTATGATTGATGAATTGTATGAAATGAATTGTATTTATTAAAGTGTACAAAGTTTGAATGAGAGTATTTTTGATGTGAGTTGAGAATGAAAAATAGAAGATGAATTTTATTTAAATTAAACTAATGGCTTGTAAAGTAGCATATTTTTAAAAAAAGAGGTAATACTAGTACCATTTTCAAAACGCGACGTTTTTTTTCACTTTATACTCAAATTGCATTATAATATAAAAGGTTATTGCTTGCATCTAGGATGCAACGCAATGGTGGAATTTCTTAACTAATTGGGTGAGCTATAAGACAAATAACTAAACTTTCTGACTCCAAAACATTTATTGTTAGTGTTTTGCGTCTACAGAAATTTGAAAAATTTTATTCAGTTTCTTTTTAAGATCTTCATAGAATATTCCAACAATATTGAACGAAAATTGTACAAAAATTGTATGTGTATAGATGCGAATAATATTAATTGTACCAATATTGTAGTCTATATGCTCTCAAACTATTTTGTTACAATTTTTATTTGTAAATTCAAAATTTCTATCAGGGTAAACAGCATTAATAAAAGTGCACTCGTATTGTTGAAAGTACTCAGTCATGATTGCTCAAATATTGAACAGCAAAATGCCATATAATAGAAATCATCTACTGTCATGCACTTTTGCTACTCAGTAAAATCAATACTGTAGTTGCTAAAATTATTTAATGAAAAATAATTTGCTTGAAATTTATTTTACATTTTATTAATTATTTTATGCTAATAATTAATTATTTATAATCACTTATCAATTTGTTAGTATAGTGTCAATGGTATTTTGAATTCAATTTTCACTGAATTTTCAGGAAAACCCATAATTTAGTACAAGCCAATAGCCCAATAAAATTTTATTACAAGCATTCATTAATTTACATACATATGTACATAACAAGCAATAACTTTCATGTGTTTCGTTTTAAATTTATAACGTCATCAAATAAAGTTTATTGACCTATGTCTTTAAAATATTATAAAAGTTGAATGAAAACCTTAATTGGGATTACTTGTAAACAAGAAGGGTGCGTCTTTATGAAAAATTTTTATTTTCTCGTACCAAATTTTCACATTGCGTGTATTCCTTAATTTTTTTTTCATATTACTGTTTTCATATAAAATCAAAGAAAACAAAAAACATAATAACTAAAAATTTACAAAAATTTCACTTTCTTCATTTGCGCGACGATCATTTGCGCGACGAAGATAATAAAAATTTTGTATCAAGAAAACTTTCTCATATAAAAAGAATGTATGGCATAATATGGAAGTGGAACTGTTGGTCATCATATTTCCGAAATACATTTTTGCAAATTACATTTTGTGATTGTATGAAAAATATTTTCACATGAAAGTGTAAGCATTTTTTGAATTTCAAGCGGAAAACAATTTACTTTTGCCTTGACAAGAAGAGACAAATTCAAATATTTGAAATGTGAAATCTAATTAAATTAATAAAATCGATAAAGAAGCATAAATTAAAAATATAAAATCATTATTTTAAATTTAAAGTTTTATAAAATGTTTGGAATTCCTTAAATATTTTGTAGTAGAGATGTCACCGAAAAATTTGAAAAATGAATTATAATTTTCACACCATATTCTTAAGTGTTTTCAAATGGTATACGATAAATTATACACAAGCTGGACAGGAGTTAATTGATAATATTATGTGAAATTATTTTAAATGAAGAAGTATGGTCTTGTTCAAATATTGCTGTTATTATTGTTTATTGAAAAAATAAGAAACTAATAAAATTCTGTACTGTTTTGTACCCTTGCGAAACAAGAAGTTATTCATACATCTTTGTATGATATACAAAAATCGGTGCGATCTAGTTAACGTAGACAGGGTGTAAACACAAAATAGATTACATACGAGTACATGTAGACTTTACTATACGAGTTGGAAACCATTGATTAATGAAAAAATTCCTGGTTCCTTAAATTGTTATTTAATTTTGTTTTTTCAAGCAACTAGTTCCACAGACTAATTGATCACCTTAAAATTTATTTTAAATTTTTATTTTTACATTTATATTACACAATTTTTATGTTAATGTTAAGAATGTAAAAAAAAAAAAGAAATTCAAAAAATTATGTAACCATAATAATATTAAAATTCTAAAATAATTTTATTGTTATATACTCGCAAATAAAACAATTATTTTAACAGTCCTATACAACACCTACAACACAATTTTAAGGTCAAAATATTGCTAGTTTGTCAGAATATAAAATATCAGAAAGTATAATCGCTCTTAATAATATTTTTTTTAATAATTATTGTTATAGCAACAATAATAATAATAGTAATATTTAATAATATAAATATTACTATTATTATTAATATCGCAATATAATAATAAAACAATAAAATTAAAGTAAAAGGAAAATAGTAATCTAATAACAAATTTTATGTACTCGCATGCTTATTTTTGCCATGTTACTAACTATCTTTAAAAATTACTCACGTGCAAATTAACGTTGCATGAAACATAATTTACTCTTTAAAAATTATATGTATACAGGCACATATAATATGTACAAGTGAGTATGTATTCATTTTAATGAAATTCTATTGTGTTAATGGCAAAGACTGATATTATTGGGTATTTGTTCATAGAATCAAAAAGTAAAGGTTGAATTAAAGAAGAAGACGTATAGGAAAATTATAGAAATAGCGCCAAATTTATACATATATACGTGTAATACTGATTGTTAAACGCATTATTATTATGCATACATTATTATTATTATTATACATGCAAAATGTAAGGTAAATCGGGGTATTCTTTTGTTAATACTTAACCTAACATTGGAATAACCTAGCATAGGAATGAAATGGACGTTTATGAACGTAATGGCATTTTGGATGTAAGGACTCAGTATTGCAACTGCTTCATTACCTATTTTTAATCTATAGGTTTATATATGCACACATGCAACTATATGATTGCATGCAACTGTATGATAGCATACAACTGTATGATTGCATGCAATTTAGCAATCAAACACTTTGTAATTTTTTACAAACTGATTGGAATTGTTAGTTAACGCACTCGATTTAAATTAACGCAATAGTTTAGTTATTTAGATGTGCGGGCAACGATTTTACCAGTAATTGAAAAAATAAAAATTTCCCCTTTGCCTGAGTCTTAAGAGCATATACATGAAGTAAAATATAAGAGTGTATATGAACATTTAAAATGATTAAGAGAGTATATATGAACATTTTGTATATTTGAGACTTCAGTTTGTCTTTAGAATGCTACGTTTAATATAAGGGGTATGGCATGTATAAAAAATTGAAAATTTGTGGCCGATCATACATAAAATTTGTTTTGAGTCCAGAACCCCTAGTTACCTTAATTTATTGTCTAAGTACACATATTATAACAGAAACCTTTGAAGTATATTAAAATTACATTGACCGTGATTAAAGGTGAATAGCACCTCAAAGTAGTTATACTTTGTTTTTAATGCTTTAAGTAGCTTAAATTATATGAAAAAATTAAAATGGAATAAAATACAAAAGAAATGTAAAATAATGGTCTTGACAATTTTAATTTACATAAATATTATAGGTATGCATGTATGTTTTCTAGTTTATATGTACATATTTAAAATATAGACTTACATTATACATAATATATATGCAAGTAAACATACAAGTGGGTGCATAAATATGTAAATAATCCGACTAATTGAGGGCTACCTTAATGTAGCCTATATGTGTGTGTATAAGGTATGTGTTTAAGTTTTATTTTTGTTGTATTTAAACTAAAATGTCTAATTGCTATGAAATTCTAATTTACATGCAAAATTATTTTCTGAGAAATACTTGATTTTTTTGAGAAAAAAAGAAAATATCATTTATTGGCTAGTGAAGAAGCTTGTGTATAAATTTCTTTCATATACGTGGCATGATATGGCAAAGTTTTTAGGGAGAAAAATTCATGGTCATGGAGTACTGAATAATTTAAATTTTATCTTTACGCATTGTTGGGGTTGTATACCTGGGACGTTGCTACTATTTTTTTTTTCATTTTAAAACTTAAGCACCAAATAATTTTGGTTCGGTGTTTTAAATTTTTCAGATTAAAGAAAGAGATGTGCAAGTTTATGTGAATATGTTTTGCATTTCTTAATATCCGCTCTCAAGTTAAATAATTTTTATAGTTATAAAGCATTTTTGATAAGTTTCCCCTTTCCTATCGGATTTTCATGTTAGAAAATGTGCTTACTTTATCCCATGTATACAAGGTAAAACTTTGCATAATAAACATAAACATTATTGCATAAACATAAATATATAACATCTTTATACAATAAGTATGTACGTTAATTATATAATATGAGTATATTTTTTTGATTACTTAAATTAAAAATTTTTTTAATTAAATTCGGATTAATTGAAGAGTTTGCTTTAATTAAGTGAAATATTTGTTTAAAAAATGGAATCTTCTACCTAATTGTGATTAGAATGGCAAAATTATGCTTTGCAAAACAAAGAATTTGCATACTTTTTGGATGACAACAAAAAAAAGAAGCAGCGTTAACATAATGTTCGAATTTGACGATTAAATAGATGAGTTAAAATAAATAATTATAATTTTGATGGTATGAA